TGAACTCTGGGCCTGGGCGCTGTCCCTGCGCTCTTCAGCTCAAGGTGAGTGCTCTACCTCTCGAGCCACAGCGTCACTTCCAGTTTTCTAGTGGTTTATTGGAGATCAGAGTCTCATGGACTTTTCTGCCCGGGCTGGCTTTGAACCATGATCCTCAGATCTCAGCCTCCTGAGTAGCTAGGATTACAGGCGTGAGCCACCGGCACCTGGCACATTTTAATTTTTTAAATAAAAGTCTCATGTTTATGCCTGGTCTAGTTCTGAAAGTCCAGTTCTTCTATTTTCACTTCCCAAGTCGTTAGGGTGACAAGCATGAACCAAGTGTACCCAGCTCACTGGCAGACTTCGTGATAAAGGAGAGCAAGGGAGCTCAGGATAAAAGGAAGGAATTGTGAGGCTGGGAGAGGATGCTACTGGATCAGGAAGGGCCAGGATGCCAGCAGGGCTTCTCGCCTTCACAGCTGGAGCACACCTTTCCTTTCTAGATGACTGGGTGATAGCATCTCTTTAGTAGGAGGGAAGCCAGCTAACCTCGGCTCCCAGTGATAGGAAACAGAGCCTTCTTTCCCTATGGGACAGAAATCTTATTAGACAGATTGACATTGAAGGCCTTCTCCTTTGGCTTATTTTACACAGTTCCGAATGAATTCCAAATCTATGAACATTTAGTAAAGCCATGGTCTATTTGCCACCTACTATGTCCCCCAGAAAGTCACCAGGGAAGGTGAAATGTGACACACTAAAGTCTTAGAAAGTAAGTTACTACCAGGTAGAGAGCAGGAGCAGCCTGCCTGCCAAATTTTTGGCTGATAGCACACCCTTCTGCAGAAGTAAACTTTGCCTTTGTTCTTGTCTATGATTATGACTCTGCTAGTTCTTGGAGAGCATATTTATGACAATTGACAATTTGATGTTGGGCTCATTTTTGTTCAGTCCTGCAATAAATTCTTAATAGCGCCTATTTATGTGGCCGTCAGTGTGCTTGGCTTTGATCAATGCTACATGAAGCAAAGAGAGACAGTTTCCACACGAGATTCAGTGGGTGAAAACAGCACAGGCGCACCATAAAATGCCACTTGTTAAATGGTTTGAAGTAGAGACTCTATGTTGCTATGGCAGCCTATTAACAGACCAGAAGTTTTCCTTGCAAAAAAGATTGACTGAGAGCTGAAGGGCAAGGTAAAAGTTAAACTAGACAAGGAAGAGAACAGCACGGTGTGTCCAGGCTGCCCAAAGGTAGGCCAGCTGTCTCAGGAACCTGGCGACAGGTGACAGCCTGAGAGGCCAAACTGATAAGGACTCGGGTGACACCTGCTTTTTAAAGAACCTGCAGATAACAAGACTGAGGTGGCTCATGCCTATGATCCTAGCTTCTCAGGAGGCTGAGAGCTGAGGAAAGTCTGTGAGATTCTTATATCCAATTAACCACCAAAAAGCTGAAAGTGGAACTGTGGCTCAAGTGGTAGAGAGCTAGCTTTGAGCAAAAAAGTCATAGGGACAGTTGCTAAGCCAAGTTCAAGCCCCAGAACCAAGCACAAAAACAAAGAAAAAAAGAGCAGACAGGCAAAAGTTGTTCTGCCAGAGGCCTGATAAGAATGCCAGGAATCTGTGGGAAAGGTTTTCCACAGAGAAGTAAGGTTAAAGTATGTCAAAGCACAGGCCCTTAAGCCACTTGGCCTGTCTCTGGGATTAGATCTCCTCTCCTCCACTTTCTTTCCTGTGCAGTATGGAAGCCAGTGCCCAATACTCACAGGCAAGTATGCCAGCACTGAGCTGTGCCTATGATTGGGTGTTTGAGCACAGTGCTTTGTCTAGATCAACAATGAGATCTGCATTTCAAGCTCAGTGCTCTGAGGCTTCTGACTGGGACTTGTTACAACAGACTAAATATAGACCATGATAGGTGTGGTTATTCCCTTCAAAGAATTCTTCCTCAATTAAAATTCTCAGCCCATTCTATTTCATTGATTTATTTAAGAACTGCTTATGAAACACTGACTACCGTGGAGGAGGAAGAGCAGACTCGTCTTCAGCGTGCTGCCTGGGGGAGGAGACCAGCCCGGGAAGACTTTGTCCTTGTATTACTCACCCCAGTACCCAATGATTCCTCTTTTAAGCTGAGCACTCCTAAGCAGAGCACTCCTATAACCCTAGCAATGCAGGAGGCTGTGAGATCTAAGTGCAGAGCTATCTGGGGCAGGAAAGTCCATGAGACTTACTTGTAATTAACCACCAGAAAACCAGAAGTGGAACTGTGGCTCAAAATGGTGAATGCTAGCCTTAAGCAGAAAAGCTAAGAGATAACACCAAAGACCCAAGTTCAAGCCCCACGACAAACAAAAAAGAAAAAGAAATTTCTTTACATGTAGTTGACTTGCTAAGGATGGTAGAATAGAACAGTAAAAACCTAGGGACTTGGGAGTCTGAGAATCCTGGTCAAACTCAGGCTTCACCTCTGAAGCACTGACAGGGCTTGGCAACCTAGAATTGGGACATTAAATGCAAACTTATGAGGGTCATTTCATTTTACTTACATGTTGGCGTACCTAATAATAATCCTTATCACTTGGAGACTATAAATAAGTCTTTTTTCCATATATTAAACACATTCTTTCACCTTAAATCTCATAAATTATTTTGTTTCAGGGCACAAATGCTAAGAGGAGTATCTGTTAAAATATTGGGGGGGCACTCAAAGCATAGCTCAGGAGGTATCACCCCTGATAAGCAGTCACAAGGGCGAGTTCAAACCCTAGTCCCATCAGAAAATAAAAAGTAGAAGTGGGTAATCTTAAAATAAATCAATTGTTTTAAATTCCAGGCTGGGATCAGAAATTAGCCACAGTTTCATCAAATCCTGCACCACTGAATTCACTACCAGAGATGTATCGTTGTCAAGAGAGAAGCAGCCTTGGGAGAGATGCTTTTAACTAAATAAATCACAGCATTCATATAAAACAACTTTTGGCATTCTTAGTGACAATGGTTGCAGTACTTTTAATTCTGATGTGTATGTGGATAACTCTTAATTCTATATCTACATGTTGCCAATTCTTTTCAGATGAGGTTGTTCAGCCTAGACCCAGGAATCATGACCCAGCCTTCAGAGAACTGACTGGCAGAGCCCTTGCCTAGCCAGGCCCTGGGTCATTATGGGTACTGGTGAGTACCCATAATATTTCCACTCCCAATCCTTGACACCCCCTACCCCCATCCCAGACCCATTGGGAAAAAAGCAACACACACACAACTCAGAGCCCAGGCAGAAGCTAGAGACCTTAGTCTCAGCCCTGTGAAAGGTTACCATGTAGCTGGTGCCTGTGGCTTTGGCAGGGGGAACATGGAAGACTATTGAACTCCATGAGTGTAGGCCTGTTGCTATTCTTTTGCTGTGATGTTAGAGTCCTCATCAAAGAAATAACGGTATGGTAGATCAGGCATTCGGGAAGGTCCCACGCAGCAGTTTGGGCAGAAGTATTGCATGTAAGAAAGCCAAATTGGTATCCAGAGCATCTATTCCAACAGCAGCAAAATACTGCTCAGCCCATAATGGAAACAAGTCAGCTGTCACTAGGAAGCTGGTAATCACTCCAGAGAAGGGATGGTACCATACTGCAGGCTCACATTTAGGTTCTCATTCATCACACCCAGTACTTTCCTATGGTAGCACATAAACCTCATTCACAAGTGTGTGTAGAATCTTATCCCCTACACAATGAATTTCAACAAGACTGTGCTTGCCTCCTAGCACATTCATATGCATAGCATATGTAATTACACCTAGCACATTCATATGCATAGCATATATAATTACATAACTTCCAATACAGTTGAATACTTATCAATGATTTTAAAGACAAAACAGATTACCTCTCGTATTAACAATATTTCACTTCTAAAAAAACACTTGGCCAAAGTTGAACCATCAGTATCATAGTAGCAATATGTGTATTTTTTAATTTCACCAGTCCTGGGGCTTGAACTCAGGGTCTGGGCCCTGAACTTCTATTCCTCAAAGCTAGCACTCTACTACTTAAGCCATAGCGCCACTTCTGGCTTTTTCTGTGTGTGTGGTATTGAGGAAGCGAACCCAGGGTTTCATGCATGCAAACACTCAACAACTAAGCCACATCCCAAACCCGTTTTTAGTTGTTGTTTTTTTTTTAAGGTATTGCTGACTTCTGATTTGGAAAGGAAAAATGAGTTAACTGTATATTTCCTTCTGAGCCATTACTGAAAATGTTTCAATAATGCAGTGCTTATATCCAAGATAAGGATATGGACTTTAAAAGCCCATTCAATTTCCACTAATATGAACAGAATTCACATATTTTAACATATTTACATATTTCAACATACAGATCACTAATCTGTATGGACTTGTAATACCACCTACACTGTTTATTTATTGAGTCTAATGATCTGCTCCTATTTTAGAACTCTTCTTGGACCAAGTATTAATAAAAATCATACACTGGAGAAATATTTAGACCTTCACAAAGATTTTGTTTCTAATGGCTCCTTACCTTGCCCACACCCTGAAAGGAAGCAGCAGCTCCTTTACACCATGTCTCTACTGCCAGAACAAAACACAATACACATAGCATACTAGAAATATTTGGTTCTTTTTAATCAGCTGTTGATGGCATAATAAAATAAATTTAAGTGGTAACTAATTTAAACATTTACTAGTTCACAGAAGGATAATCTACAACACAATATGTTATGCCTAACTATCTAAATAACACACACACCCCTTTTTTGTTTTTCCAAATAAAGGAGAAATGAAGGCATGATCAAATTTATGGCCAACAATTTGGGTTCTTTAGACACTTGCATATGATTTTGTAGATATACTGGCAGGCACAATGTTGAAAACCAATCCATTAGATTTCGATTTTTAAAAAAGGAAAGCTACACATCTCAGTTCATGTCTAAAACTAAACAAAAATATCCACTGAGTATCATAATAGATTTTTTTAATGACTATTTAAAAAAAAAAACATTATGGTAGTTGTTTTGGGGAAGCATCTTTTCTCTTTAAACACTTAACGCATTAAATAATCTGTAGAGAGAAGCAAGTTCTGTACAAAGGGACCCATTGTAACACGCCCCTTCTCCCTGCCAAAGCTCAATTTTGCAATGGTCTCTGCCAAAAATACCAGTTCATACGTTAAGACAGAATCCATGGCATTACGGAGTTCACAAAGCCCATCCTGCCTTCACTTTTTCTAACAACAAAGTTACAATGAAAGAATGATCAGAATGTAGAAATGCTTGTGCAAAACTGCATTGTTCTTACTATCTACAGTACTAGGGGGCAAAACTAAGGAACATACAATGACAATGAAGAAAACCTACACTGGAGGTGACTCAGGTTCAAACAAAAAGGGTTCTACCTATTACTAAACATTGAAAGGAAACGTGGCACCATGAGCGGCAGGAGCAACAGGCGATTCGGCCATTATGCCAGGTGAGGAAGCTGGCACCAGAATATGTCCAAGTCTATCTCCACAATAGCCACCACCTCACAGCCTGGAAACCGGTGCCAGGCTCCACACACATTCCATGTCTTCATTCTGGAACTTGTAAGTCGTAAAGGAATATTTGAGTAAGTCTCTTCCCTCCCTGGTAGGAGTGTTTCTTACATCCCTGGCCATCCTTAAAAGAGTTGAATCATAGACTCTCTGGATTTACCCACACCAATCCATTTCACTGGAAAACAGAACAAAGACAAAAGGACATAAAGAGCATCAATCATCCATCCAAACTTCTCAGGTCACCATTTTCCCTAGAAGCTTGTGCTTTCTGCTCGCAGACAATGCCTGTTCCTAATGGGCCACAGACACAGTCAAGGTAGTCACCTCTTTTCTGCTTTTTTGTGGTTGGTAGTACTGAGATTTGGGCTCAGGACCTCATATTTAGTAGTCAAGTGCACTTCCACCACCCAAGCCATGTTCCCATGCTAACACGCTACTTGAAATGTACAACATTTATAACTTCTTAACCCCTAGTGACTAGTAAACTAAAATACTGGTCTAAACCAGCAGAGACTGGAAGAACTTTTGATTATCTGATACCTAGAAAAGCATCTTTGATAAATAGATAAGTAGAAGTGTCACTGCACCTTCTATACCAAGTAGATACTGAAGTGTCACTGCACCTTCTATAGCTCAAAAAGTAGAATTATAGACCAGCTTGCATGGCCTGCCACACCAGCATGAGGAACCCCTAATCATTTGCAGCCCCTGGCTTTAGGGGATCTGTGAAGTTACTGGGTTCCACATCACTGTTAGCAAAAACTTTTATAAGTGTTCACCAAAGTCTTTGTTAGATTCACTGCTATTTAGTTCAGAAAATGGTAGCCAGTAACAGTAGGCAAATATGCTTACTCAATTTGACACCACACAGAAAGGCTACTGCTCATCAGGAAAACAAGAACCACAATACAAAATCAGTCTATGCATACTAGATTTTACATGGAAAATATCCTGTCTACTTTTTCTTTCAACTCCCATTCATGTAAGAAGATAAACAAAAGCATCTGGTAAGAGACAGACTCCACAGCCGGGCACTGGTGGCTCACGCCTATAATCCTAGCTGCTCAGGAGGCTGAGATCTGAGGATTGAGGTTCAAAGCCAGCCCGGGCAGGAAAGTCCATGAGACTTATCTCCAATAAAACCACTAGAAAACTGGAAGTGGTGCTATGGCTCAAGTGGTAGAGTGCTCGCCTTGAGCTGAAGAGTGCAGGGACAGCGCCCAAGCCCAGAGTTCAAGCCTCAGGACCAACCGGAAAAAAAAAAAAAAAAAAGACATACTGCACATAACTTTATTGTGCCTATCTCCCTGGCCAGCTTTAAGTGTTCATTTTTAATAGAGTTTATCCAGTCCATTTTTTATTTTCTACTAATGTGATTTCCTCTTGTATATAGTTATTTCCTAATGTCTATTCAAATAAACTTCTCCAACTCTTAAAGGTGGTTTCACTCAAATGTGGTGGTGGTGGGGGGGGGGGGGAGCCCATAAACTAGTTTTCAGTAAGGGTGAAAATCAAAAGAATGAACGGTCACGGGGTAAAAGCAAAAACATGTCAGAGAAGCTAAGAGGGAATCTACAAACTTGTGGTAAAGCGCTTGCCTAATAAGTGCAACTGGGTTAGATCCCCAGTAACAAAAAAGAAAAGAAAAAAAAAGTTGAAAAACCCAAACAGAAACAAAGTATTACATTATTGTAAGGTCTGCACCACGAAGGCAGGGCAGACTCCTCCCTCCTCTTGGCCAAGTCTCCACCTGTGTCACCTAGGTAACTGGCACACCTGGAAGCAGTCAATTCACCCTCCTCCAAGACCACATCTTGGGCTGGCCCTGGTCATGCCTCCCATCAGACCATGGGAGGGTCCCGGGCCCTGAGGTCATAGCTGCATCCAGTGTGGCCATACCCTTCCACACACCTGGCTGCACCTTCCCCTCAGTTTCCCACGCAGGATATCAGCTAGCCCCTTTCCACCGTGTGCTCTCCACCATGCACTGCGGGGTAGCAGTTCAGTAATAAACTTCTCCTTCCTGCCTGAATTCTCATGTGGTCTCTTCATCAGCTACCTAATTAAACCAACCTATTCAATTTACCTTACAATTATGTGTTCTAATATACTGCTGGGAATCCTGAGACCTCTTCAAACCAATAATCTTTGCTTCTGTTTGGAAGGTCAGTTAAGGCAGAAAGAGCAGGGCTAAGGTACAGCTTGACTAGCAGCACAAAGCCCTGAGATCCATATCCACTTCCCTGCTCCCGAATACAATGATTTTTTTCTTTAAATAGAAGATCCTAGTTCATAAAATGTTTACCTGGAATCTGAAGCTCATCTTCAACAAACCGAACATACTGTTGTGCATTTACAGGTAGTTCCTTAAACGTCCTTGCACTGGATATGTCTGTGTTCCATCCTGGGAGAGTCTTGTATTGGACTTCAACTTTATTTAAGACATCATGGTTAGCTAAAAGTGAAGGAGTAGATACGTTCATGGTACATCTTGTTCATGGTACATCTTGTTTATTGTCAAAAATCTTTTGGATGAGGGGGAGGGAGAGGGGGGACACACACACACACAAAAAAAAATCTTTTGGACAAAGTTCAAACACTTATCAAAACCCTTGGCATCAGAAATGTGTTGAAATTTAGAAATTTCGGGCTGGGAAGGTGGCTCAGTGGTAGAGCGCTTGCCTTGCATGCCTGAGACCCTGGGTCTGATTCCTCAGCACTACATAAGCAAAAAGAAAGAAGCCAGAAGTGGCGCTGTGGCTCAAGTGGTAGAGCACTAGCCTTGAGCTGAAGAGCTGAGGGACAGCGCCCAGGCCCAGAGTTCAGGCCCCACGACCTGACCCAAAAAAAAAAAAAAAAGAAACTTAGAAATTTCCTAGGTTTTAGAAAGGTAACAATTGCCAACAAAAAGTAACAACACTACATTCACCAAGTGGGGAAGTTTCCTGAAGCAAACATTTCTGGAGCTGTATGTGATCATTCACTCCAAGTAGAGAGAGGCCACACAGTTCTAACATCAGTTCACACCAAATCAGTCCTGCCTGGGAAATGACATTTAATGCCAAACTTAAAACTCCATTTTCAGAGCACCTCAGATTTCTATACTATCAGCTGTGGATGCTGTAACGACAGAACCTCCCAGAAGGCTTGCACATACTTATCTTCTTCAGAGCCTCCCCTGACCTCGTCCTTCACACAAAGGAACCACTGTCCACGTTCGATGGCATGTGGGTGTGGGAACACAGAGGACTGGGTCACTTGGCCTAATGTGGAACAACTCTGAAGAGCTATTCTAGCCCCACAACTCTCCAAAGGATCACCAAGGGCAGCACCACAGCTCAACTTTCTCCACCTGCCTGCTCCCATTTCCCTCACAGCATGCTGCTCACACTTACGAACCGCTGCAAATCTCCACACCAATCTGTTTCTAGAGAACTCAATTTTAGACGTTGATGCCAATAGTTTGAGAAGGATCTAAAATGGGAGCTGAACTGAATGAATCAGCCCTGTTGAGTCCCTTGGTTCCTCTTCCACTGTCTACCACAGCAGTTATGACGCGTCTGCTCCGTGTGGCCCATCCCAGCATGTTCTCAGTTGATCTCTGTCACACTCACGGGAGGGCGCTCTGTATCAGCATACACTCATCCCAAAGTCTCCCTCCACTGCTGCTCCCTTGGTTTGTATGTACCCTCACGCTCACTACCTGCTGTCACATGCTAAGCAGGTCCTTGCAGACCATGTAGAACCTGGTCCCTTTCTGCCTAAGTGCTTTCTTGGTTGGGATTTGGCCTGCTGATGAGGAGGGAAAATAGAGGTAGATCTATGTCACCTGGTGCCCCCTTTAAGGCAGAGGCCTCTACGCATCAAGCAAGGGAAGCCCTAACATTAGTAGATGGCAGTGAATACGCTACAGACTCTGAGGGTTTGGACTGCACCAACCCAGTGTCTCAGCCAACATCTCGTCATAGCAAGTGGCTTGGTCATAGCAGATTTGTTGGAGTTGAGATTATAACATTCTCTAGAGCTCTACTGTCTAGGTAGCCAAGTCCTGAGACTAATTTTCTTCCTTACCCCCCTCCCTATAGGACATGAGATTCTCTCCAGATGCTGCTGAGAAAGGCTTCTGACACATTTTACCTTAAACTGCCTCAGTCTTTATGAATGCATTCATCAAAGGCCATCCATTCCCACTGTCCCAGTGTGCTGAGTCTTCAATGCTCTTGGTTCTCAATTCCTCAGATTCTGCCAGTGTTTTGCTTTGCATTAGTGTGACAAGAACACTTAATAGCTTATTGCTTAATTGCCACTCCACTGCCCACTGGCAGTGATTACTGCCAGGGACCTCCCTTTCCAGCCATGATGAAACTCACAGTTCCAGACCAGTTCTGAAACTATGACAACTGAAGAGTTATCCCAGGAAATGAGACAAAGAGCAGAACAAGATGGTTTCCTGAGAGACAGAAAGGAAACAAGAGCAAGTCCTTTCAAGACACTGGCATGGAGACTGGGAAGGTGGCTCAGTGGTAGAGTGCTTGCCTTGCATGCATGAGGCCCTGGGTTCGATTCCTCAGCACCACATTAGCAGAAAAAGCCAGAAGTGCACTGTGGCTCAAGTGGTAGAGTGCTAGCCTTGAGCTGAAGAGCTGAGGGACAGCGCCCAGGCCCAGAGTTCAGGCCCTATGACTGACGCCCCTCCCCTTATCCCCTCCACCCCCAAAAAAAGAAGACACTGGCATGGACAGAAAATGGCAGCTCTACTAACCTCAAGTGAAGCAGAAACAGATTGGCAAGGGAGAAAGCAGAGGGAGCTGTAGACACAGGGCCCCTGAAGAATGGTCCAATGCCGCAGCCTCGGCTCAGCTCGGCTGGACTGTTGGGGCAACAGCAGAACTGTCAGATCTCAGCCGGTAGCTGTTGTGCAGCTGAGGGGCAACAGTGCTGGTGAAAGAGCAGGCTCCCCAGAGCTCAGTATTGCTGAAGTCTGGAAAGAGCTCGTGAGTACACTTTAGTAACTCTCCTGGCTTCCAGCTGATATGCCAGAAAGGCTATTTCTTAAGAATTAAAGCGGTACCCTTGAGTAAAACCTACCCCCAATCTCCCCACACCTCTCTCTACTCCAACCCCTAATAAAGCCAAATACCACCTCCCCTAAGATCCACAGAGGAGAGAATTGGAAGAATGACACACACGTTTAGGGCACATCTTGGGTTTCCATAAGTACACACTGGCAAAGCACAAAACAAACAATAAAGTTAAAGATGACTAGTCTCAATTTGATGGTGCTCTAAAATAACAATCATTACTACAGAGAGGAAGATAACAGAATCTCAGTCTCTGCACTATATATCTACAGTGTTCAATACTCAGCCAGTCACTAGGTGCAGAAACAGTCCTTAGGCATTTCACAACTAAGGAGTAGATTAGTGAAGAGAAACCAAACTTAAGATGATCTAGAAGTTGCAGTAACAGGAAAGTAGATAATATTAAGAAAATTCAATCATTAGGCTGGGAAGGTGGCTCAGTGGTAGAGCGCTTGCCTTGCATGCATGAGGCCCTGGGTTCAATTCCTCAGCACCACATAAGCAAAAAAAAAAGAAAAACAAGCCAGAAGTGGCGCTATGGCTGAAGGGGTAGAGCGCTAGCCTTGAGCTGAAGAGCTGAGGAACAGTGCCCAGACCCAGAGTAAAGGCCCCATGACCGGACCCCCCAAAAAAGAAAAGAAAATTCAATCAGTAAAAAGGCATGTTTCAAAAGAGAAAAAAAGGCCAGGGGCTGGTGGCTCACGCTAGTAATCCTAGCTACTCAGGAGGCTGAGATCTGAGGATTAAGGTTCAAAGACAACCTGGGCAGGAAAGTCTGTGAGACTCTCATCTCCAATTAACCATCAGAAAACTGGAAGTGATACTGTGGCTTAAGTGTTAGGCACTAGCCTTGAGCTGAAGAACTGAGGGACAGCATCCAGAGTTCAAGCCCCACGACTGACCAAAAAAACCCAAAAAATTGTGAATATGTGAACTATTGAAATATGCCAGTAAGGAACAAAGTATAAAACAGAACCAAGAGCCGGGCGCTAGTGGCTCATGCCTGTAATCCTAGCTATTCAGGAGGCTGAGATCTAAGGATTGTGGTTTCAAAGCCATCCAGAGCAGGAAAGTCCCTGAGACTCTTATCTCCATTAAACCACTAGAAAACCAGAAGTGGCACTGTGGCTTAAGTGATAGAGCACTGTTTTGAGCTGAAGAGTATAAGGACAGCTCCCAAGCCTAGAGTTCAAGCCCCCAAACAACAACAACAACAAAAAAGAACCAAATGGAAATTCTAAAAAACAATCTAGTCATTAAATAATTATATAGCCAATCATTAGAAAGTATCAAGTCTGAAGGACAAAGAAAAATAAGGACAGATAATGACAAGGATTATCACAAAAGGAAAAGAGAAAATACTTAAGAGGCCAGGAACTTACCAGATGATAAAATAACACAGGAATGTCTGTCTAGAAGGACCTCTTTTGAACTCACAGTAATGAGCTGCAGCAGTGAGAACAGCAGCAGTATTGTAAAAGGGTTCAGAGATGACTATCTCAACTCCAGGGCTGATGGAAGGAGATGCTATTATAGGACTAAGAAACCTGACATAGGAGAAACCTGACCTGATGAAAGAATCCCTAAAGACTAAAAGCCAGGCCACAGTGCCTCCTTCAGAGACAAGATGAGCTTCATTAGCATTGGGTATAGCAATCAAGGTGACAGCTAAGAGAGGGTAGTCATCAGAGAAGAAAGCAGTTGGAAGACAGACAAGTAGTCAACAAGGCCATCAGTCAGTCTGTAAAAGAAACTTTCACTTCAAAATGAAGTTAAGGATGGGTTATCAAGGGGCTGGGGATAAAGTCCCAATAAAAAATAATGACTACCAGGGCTGGGAAGGTGGCTCAGTGGCAGAGTGCTTGCCTTGCATGCATGAGGCCCTGGGTTCGATTCCTCAGCACCACATAAGCAGAAAAAGCTGGAAGTGGTGCTGTGGCTCAAGTGGTAGGGCGCTAACCTGAAGCTGAAGAGCTGGGGACAGCACCCAGGCCCAGAGTTCAGGTCCCATGACTGACCCCCCCCCCAAAAAAATGACTACTGAGTAACCTCAGAATCTAAATTAGTTTTCACAACCGTCACACAAGTGGCAGAGAGGCTAAAGCTAAATGGAGGCTCTGCCCCATTCAACACAACAGCTAGTTGACTGGGAAGGAGGACATCTAGGCATTCTGAAGACTTAGACACAAGGATCAAGGTGACACTGAAACCACAGCACCCTGTCAGTGACGGGGCCAGATTATAGATGGTATCTTGACCCAGCTTCAGCCCGCAGCATCTCACTGGCTTCACAGATTTACCTATTCCTTAATTCTCTAATCTTCAAACATAATGTAGGAACATGCTAGAAACTGTATATTGGTTCCCTGGAATGTTATCATGGAAAAGGAGACTTTGAAAATCTTTAAGGCCAGTAAATAATGGCTCACAACTGTAATCCTAGCTACTCAGGAGGCTGAGATCTCAGGATCACAGTTCCAAGCCAACCTGGGCAGGAAAGTCCATGAGACTCTTATCTCCAATAAATTGCTCAGGAAAAGAAAAAAAGGGCAGGAAGTGGCACTGTGGCTCAAGTGGTAGTGCTAGCCTTGAGCAAAAAAAGCTCAGGGACAGCACCCAGGCCCTGGCCCAGAGTTTAAGCCCGAGACTGGCAAAAATAAATAAATAAATAAATAAATCTTTAAACACAGACTGGGGGAATGGAGGGGGGGGGGGGTGTAGAGGAAGAGTACCTGGAAAATGAGGTATGGTTTCACCATCTAACTTGTAAGCAACTCCAACTTTGATTTCTGTAAACATGTCCAAAATGTCCAACTTGGTAAGAGCCAACCTAATTTTAAGGAAAAGGCAATGGTAAGCATCCACTCTTAATACCTATCTGATTGTTGTGACAGGAGGAGAAAACTCATGCAAAGTTCAAAGTTCCAAAGCAACTCTGAAAACAGGTTAGCACTGTATTTTAAGGCATGTCATACATAAAACACTAGAGAGCAACGCATTGGTGTACACTCTTCCGCTGAATTACTTCCTAGTGATGACCACAGGCCTCAATGGGAGCTCCACTCTTGCTCGGGCTTCTTATGACAACACCAACTATGGGAGGCCCCAGGCGCTGTTATGGATGCCTCTGTGCCATGCTCTGGGACACAGAGATCACCAACCCACAGGGGACCACAAGGTCAAGCACACTCTCACACATGCCCTTAAGCTCTCCCTTCTGGTTACCATCTTACCAGCACTTCAACCCTTCCGGTCAGAATTATGAATGAAGAAACTGGGGCTGGGAAGGTGGCTCAGTGGTAGAGCGCTTGCCTTGCATGCACGAGGCCCTGGGTTTGATTCCTCAGCACCACATAAGCAAAAAGAAAAAAGCCGGAAGTGGCGGTGGCTCAAGTGGTAGAGTGCTAGCCTTGAGCTGAAGAGCTGAGGGACAGTGCCCAGGCCCAGAGTTCAGGCCCCACGACCGGACCAAAATAAAAAAACAAAAAAAATTTAATGACTGAAGAAACTATCGCAGGGACCTCTTCATGATATATGAAATTTCCCCCAAAAAAGGTTTCTAAGGGAAAATCTGTGAAAATTAAATATACATTGTATTTCTTCTAGCTAACCTACTTAGCTTGCCTTCTTTACTTTCTTACATGTCAGACTATTGTGATTCTTTTGTGCCAACTTTGGAGAGCTAGAAATACAACTTGGGGTCTCTCTTCTACTTCTACCTAGAACTACAATTTTGATTTGGAGACTAGGAGTGGTATTTTTCTACCAAGGCTTTACCCTAAGTCAGCACTCCACAAAAATCAAACCTGGCCAACAACTCTCCTACGATTTCCTTAAAATGTGTGGAGAACACTCACGCAGTAAATCCATTGATCATATGAGCATATTTGATTGAAACAAGGTCCAGCCAACCACATCTTCTTTTTCTTCCAGTAGTGACACCAAATTCCATACCTCTTGTTTGTAATAATTCTCCAATTTCCTAGAGAATGAAAAACAGAACTTAAAAATTAGGATGCCAATGCTATACACCTAGAGAAATATAGTACCTTATATAATAAGCCAAAGCCTCTTCTGATAAACTCCGCAGAGATGATAGATTTTATCTGAGGGCAGTAAACAGATCACCTTTGGCTTCAAAATCTAATGCTACATAGGTAACTTTGTAAAGTGTAAACTGCAAGATTTTTAAAAAACAGCTAAATTATACCTATTTAAAATAAGTTGTTATGATCTGCACATGTATATGAAGTGTCCCCCCTCAAGGTTTACGTATTGAAGGCTTGGGTCCCAGCTGGTGGTACTACTGAGAGATGACTAGTTCAAGTGCACTAATTTATACATTAATACTTATTATATTAATATAGTAATAGATATATTACTATCTGAATGCATTAATGCATTAATCTACTGATAAACTCATAACTGAATGGACAGCTAGGAGATGGAGTTACTGAAGAAGTAGGTACACCAAGAGTGTGCATCTGAAAACTATTACGGATTCCTTGGCCTCTGCCTCCTCCTACCTTCCTGGCTGTCCTGAAGTGGGCAGCTTTCCTCCACCACACCCTTTGTCTCAATGCTCATCTAACTATTGGCCCAGAAACAGAGCCAGACCATGGACTGAAACCTCCGAAACCATGAGCCAAAATAAACCTTTCCTGTCTTTGTTTCCATAGGAAGTTTGTCACAACAGTGGAAAGCTAAGGCATAAGTAATTAATAAGTAATAGACAAATCCAGTCAATTGTTCTGACCATAGTCTGATATTAAATGAAAGGCATAGGAAACCAGAATACATTATAGTCTGATATTAAATGAAAGGCACAGGAAAAACCAGAATACATTATAGTCTGGTATTAAATGAAAGGCATAGGAAACCAGAATACATTAAGGGGAAAACCTACAACAGGCATGCCTTTTTCTTTCCATAGTTTTAACTGGATTTTCTAAGAACTAGACTTACATTGTCCTGTTCTGTAGGGAAGGCGCCAATACCAACTCTAGTGGTATAAGCCTTCACCACGCCATACACTTCTCCAACATTCCGAGGCGGCATACCCAAACCCGTACAAACGCCTCCAACTGTACAATTTGACGAGGTTACAAAAGGGTAAGTCCCTAAAACAGAAACAAACATTAAGATAAGCACACTTTCATCTATACTTTCAAACAGAATTACCTTGACAAACTCTGCACCTGAGTATATTGTAGGTTTCTGACAGACTTGACAGAGCAGAACTGTCCCTGCCCTCCTCAAGCCTCAATGTCTTCTTTTGTGTTGAGAGCTATAAGGGAAGAAGAGCTTCCCCTAGAGTGGAGCTGGTAGGTGCATGCTGACTCAGCTCTACAGTGGACACTCACTCAGAAATCCACCCATACATTTGAACAGAACCCCTACATTTCAAGCAGATCCAATTCCCCATATAAATATTTAAGGTGCAGCAGCAAGCTGGAGTGACTGTAACGTAGTAAGAATTATGTGAATTCCACATTATCCCCAGCTCTGGATGTCAAGCCACGTATAATCTCAAATTACAAGAATGGTTAAGAATGGTGTACTTTTTCCCTCCTTCACACTAACTGTTCACTCTGCTAGCTGAGACACAACTTTCCTTCCAGACTGGCTAGGCATATGTAATATCACAAGCCCATATCCATTACAGAGAAACACACTCACTTTAGTATATTAGGGGTCAAAAGCCAGTGAGGTGTCAGCCATAGCTGAGAACAATCAGCATAATCTGGGATAATTATGAATGGATGCAATCACCAATAAAGTTACCACCAATAAATAAGAGGGATAGTAGTTTGAAGAAGGTAAGCATTGACCTTCTGGGGATGAAGAAGATACTCTGAATCCACTCATAAATCCTCATGCTCAGTGGAAACAGGTTCTCATAAGTCTAGCAATATGCATGTTTAGTGTATACTTCTCTTTTTTTTTTTGAGCCACAATGCCAATTCCAGTTTCCTGGTAGTTTACTGGAGATAAGAGTCTCACTGACTTTCCTGCCTGGGCTGGCTTTGAACCATGACCCTCAGATCTCAGCCTCTTCAGCAGCTAGGATTACAGGCATGAGCCACCAGCATCTGGCTACTATATATTTATTTAAAGAAAGGTTGAATAAGATTCTTCCATTGAATTTGTCTTATTTTACTATTACAGAGAAATGAGACTTTGGATTAATGAGCCAACTAATGAACTTTACCATTTATAGAATTCCAAATCCACCGATTCAAGATGACTGCATTCCCCTCCCCCGCAGTGAAGTACCAAATTGAACACACATATTGTGTTTCCTACAATATTCCTTTAAAAATCTTGGCATAAGATGACAAACTTCCACTGTGCCTAAGCTCAAGCTAAAAGCATCACCTTGGAGCTCCCTGTGCTCACATGAATTATTTACACCTTAAGTACTTTAGGTTCAGTCAGGCTCCCTATGAATCACAGTGTCACTTACCAAAATCAATATCTAACAGTGCTGCATTTGCACCTTCTACCAAGATTTTCTTTGGTGGTCCATGTAGGGCCTCATATAGGAAATAAACTCCATCTCTCACCATTGGTTTAATCCTTTCCATATAACCCTATGCACAAAAACAAAAACCAGTTTCCATGTACACCAATGTATTCACAAAATAACCAGTATAAGTATAATTACCTGACTTTGTAACAGTGAAAACTGATCAATGCAGAGTAGAGCTGGGCACCAATAGTTCACACCTATAATCCTAGTTACTCAGGAAGCTACAATCTGAGAACTGGGCTGTGGAGCCAGCCCGGTAGACAAACTTGGAGACTCCTATCTCCAATTAACCAGAACAGCTGGAACTAGAAGCATTGCTCAAGTTGTACAGCATCATTAAGAAAAAAAAAAAAAAAAACAGAACAAAACAAAAAACAGGAACACCTATCACCTATTAGAATCTTCTTACCCAATTCCATTTACTATTCTTCATCTACTTCACATTCACATGGAAGATGTATAAGTAGACCTGAAAAGCCATATCCATACTTAGGCACATAAATTATTTCCAAGTTGTGAATAATAAATTTAAAATATTGTTGCATAATAGAACAAAAAGAAGATGGTAGTCTACTTTCTAAACAATTACAAATACCTAATATTTTGGAAATATTTTTTTTTTTTTTTTGGGGTCCAGTTGTGGGGCCTAAACTCTGGGCCTGGGTGCTGTCCCTCAGCTCTTCAGCTCAAGGCTAGCGCTCTACCACTTGAGCCACAGTGCCACTTCCAGCTTTTTTCTTTTTGCTTATGTGGTGCTGGGGAATTGAACCCAGGGCCTCATGCACTGCAAGGCAAGCGCTCTACCACTGAGCCACCTTTCCAGCCCTTGGAAATATTTTTTAATTTGTAAATACGGGCTATTCAGTGAAGACTATTCTAGAACAGCATATAGTCTGTAGCCTCCTGGAAATGATGCTGTTAATTAGCATACATACAGTTCACCAATAACTGTAGAGCCTCCACACTGCTGTCTAACTTAAGCACCACTGACACCTAAAATTTGCCAGTAGGGAGCCTCACCTATGCCCAGTTATTTTACTCTTTTTTTTAGAAATACAATGCTAAGGAAACTGACTAGGGATCACCACTCCTAAGTGGGCTGGTTAGTTTTCTTATCACCCTACACTGCCCCTTTGCTGATCTATACTATAGTAATAGTAAGTGCAAGTCTAGGCTCTTGTCTACTCAGAAGGAACCAACAGCTCTTCATACCCCAGAACAAAAGCTGAATTACCTGTCATTGCATGCAAGTCCCATGCTCTACTCCTGCTCCGTCTAATGTCCCGTCTGAGCCACACTGAGTCACGAACTCAAAAAGTGCTAGGTCCAGGCATAACTGGTAAATTTCTTTTGGCAGTTTTTAAACACAACTGGATTCACTAAAGATCTACTTATCAATTTGGAAACCAAATGTTTTAAGCATATTAAAGAGCTCAGAAAGCATTACCTTGAGTTTCTGTAATTCACCTTCAATGTCTACTTCCAAAGTAGGATATATAGATTTGTACTGGTTAGCCAGAACTTTGAACCTAAGAAATGCAGAGAAATTACAACACTCTCCTTAAAAAATATTTTGAACAGTCAATTCAAATGATTTCTGTAGAGCTTAAGTAGGCTTACTAGCAAATTATTCCTGAAACTCAAAATAGTTGTTTTTGTTTTCTTCTTTGTGCTGGTTCTAGGGCTTGAACCCAGGACCTAGGTACTGTCCCTCAGCTTTTTTGCTCAAGACCAGCACTCTTCCACTTGAGCCACAAATCCCTTCAGCTTTTTTGGTGATTAATAGGCGATAAAGAGTCTCACAGACTTTGCCTTGGCTGGCTTTGAACCACAATCCTCAGATCTCAGCCTCCTGAGATCCTAGGATTTCAAGTGGGAGCCAGCTACAGTGCCCAGCTACAGATAGTTTTTTGAGAAATAAAATTTGAGGGCTGGGCTGGTGGCTCAGTGGTAGAGTGCTTGCCTTGCATGCATGAAGCCCGGGGTTCGATTCCCCAGCACCACATAAGCAAAAAGAAAAAAAGCCGGAAGTGGTGCTGTGGCTCAAGTGGTAGAGCACTAGCCTTGAGCTGAAGAGCTGAGGGACAGTGCCCAGGCCCACAGCTCAAGCCCCACGACAGGACCCAAAAACAAAAAAAGAAATAAAATTTGACACAGGAAATCAGCTGTATGAATAAATGATACTCCCAGGATACTTATTTTCAAGTTTGAAACTAAGCATAAATGTGTATGCTGGGAGAAAAGAAACAGAATGATTGAAACCTGTAAAAACACAAAAAGACTTAAAAGATTTAAATCTGTATTTACTTTTAATTTTTTACTGTGTAAAAAAACCAAAGGCCTAGCTAGGCGCAGGTGGCTCACGCCTATCATCCTAGCTACTCAGGAGGCTGAGATCTGAGGATTGCGGTTCAAAGCCACCCCCGGAAGGAAAGTCCATGAGACTCTTATCTCCAATAAACCACTTGAAAACCGGAAGTGGTGCTGTGGCTCAAGCAGTAGAGTCCCTGCCTTGAGCTAGAGAGTGCAGGGACAGCGCCCAGGCCCAGAGTTCAAGCCCCACCACCGACAAAAACAAAAAAACAAAAAAACAAAGGGCAAGGTTAACATGATATGAGAGAGACAGAGGCAAGTGCTTGCACATTGGCTCAAGACTATCAGTGGAGCTGCCCTGCAGTGCACACACAGTGTTAAGAGAAAGGTGTGCAACAAGCTCGTCACTCCAGCCTTGATGGCACTCACTGATTAGTTACCACGTTTCTACTGGACAGCTCCTACAGAGAGCACCATCTCGCCGGCATTTCTGGTGTAAAGGGTACTTGAATAATTTACCAGGGGCTAGGGAGCTGACTGGTTTGGAAGGAGGACAGGACAGTCTTTGAGCTGCAAATCCCCGGGGTGTGGGACGTATGCCTCGGCACAGTTTCTCAGGAAACCATTTTTTTTGGGGGGGGGGGGGGGAAGTGAAGGGGGGGGGGGGTCAGTTAAGGGGCCTGAACTCTGGGCCTGGGCACTGTCCCTCAGCTCTTCAGCTCAAGGCAAGCACTTTACCACTTGAGCCACAGTGCCACTTCCGGCTTTTTCTGCTTATGTGATGCTAAGGAATGGAACCCAGGGCTTCATGCATGCAGGGCGAGCACTCTACCACTGAGCCACCTTCCCAGCCCTCAGGAAACCATTTCACACACCAAGCCTCCCAATCTGGCCTTGTCTTCTTGTGCTATTATTCCTATCTCATTACCATGTGATTTTCATGAGCTAAATCTGAAATTAAGAACCAGTCAGAAGGTGGTAAAAATAACTTTAGCATTTAAATGACATCTTTTAAAAATCTATCAACTTAACTAGAATACTGATTTTATTATTTCTTTACTCCAGGGTTAAACTTTTTTTTTTTTTTTTTTGGTCAGCCATGGGGCTTGAACTGGGCCTGGGTGCTGTCCCTCAGCAATTCAGCTCAGGCAAGCACTCTATCACTTGAGCCATAGCACCACTTCCAGTTTTCTGGTGGTTTATTGGAGATGAGTCTCATTGATGTTCCTGCCCAGGCTGGCTTTGAACCGTGATCCTCAGATCTCAGCCTCCTGAGTAGCTAGGATTATAGATGTGAGCCACCGGTGCCCGGCCAAGGTTAAACAAAAATCCATTTGTTCTTTCAAATTTGAAACACAAGTTAATTACCTCTCAGAGAAGCCACTGAAGTCAGATACAAGATCACACATCCGAAGTCCACTCCGAGCAGCTTTGGAAGAATAAACTGGGCCAATGCCCTTTTTTGTGGTACCCAAACTTGAAAACAAATTATAACAAGCTTTGAATTATCGGACAATGGCAGGTATTATAAGAATGAATTCACATGACTATTTCCTATTTATACTATTTCTTATAAATTTTCATAATTCTACTGGTTTTCTCTGAATTAAAAAAATATTTAAACTTCTAACCTGAAATTTATACATCAGGATATGGACATGCTTAAACTACAACCAAAACAATTTTAAAATTAGAAAAAAAATCATATTGGAGGGAAAAACAACATACTGGGGAAAGGCAAACAAAGGGGTGACATTGTCCAAAAAGAAATGTATTCATTACATGACTTTTGAAACAGTAGCCCTGTAAGCTAACGGTAACAGTAACATTGCGTATTTTTAATCATACTTTTTTCCTGCTTGCTCTTGTCTTTGTTGTTCCTGGATGCCATCAGCTGCTTGATGAAAATCAAATACTATGGAGAAATAAAACAAAATCAAAGTTGCTGTGGAAATAGACACAAGACAACATATTGTGCTTCAAATTACAGAAGTTCAAAATCCTTCAAAACTCATTATGACAAATTATATGGGTAAATCTGAACAAGTGGTAATGGCAGGAATAAGATTACAAAGCCAATTGGCCTATTAGTTTGAAAATATGCCTATGCTATCTATTACAGACTTTAGTATAGTCCAATTTTGGACCACCCAACCCAAAATTCTAAAGTTCCATTTGCAGAGGATCAGGCATGTAGAAGCTTCTCCAAGTGGAATATGCCAGGTACACACTCAGATTCTCTTCCCACCACCAAGATTCACAAGTATTAAGACAATATCAGTTTATTCTACTAGCTAACTTCCTATGCCAACAAGTTCTCAAATATTTACTCATTGAATTTATGGCTAGTGTTATGATGACGCAGCACTAGAATTCTGGTCCCTGAACAGGTAGCTAAGATTTTTCTTTTAAAACAGCTATATGGAAATAGAATTTAGCAATAAAACTCACCTAGTCCATTTTAAGTGTACAACTCAATGGTTCTTAGTTTATGATTTTTTTTCACTAATGAAGTTACTGTTTCCAAATTAAGAAGTTGAGATGTAGAGATGTTAAACAGAAGGACTGATGTAAGGATCTTGGAAGTAATGGTAATTTTTGTGAAAGACCTTCTAAACATACATAGAAGTAGCACTGGAAGACCAGTGAACTTCTGGACAATGAAACTTGACTGATTCCATGAAACTTAGCCTAGAAGCACAGTCTCCTAGTCTCCTGCTTTTCAGATACTATGACAAACTCTCTTGTTTGGCACAATGATAGCCACAGCTTTGGATAATCAGCAAGGATCTGATGCTCTCACTAGCAGAGCTTGACAGGGATTTTAAATTTCCATTATGTTATTTAAAATTATACAGTAAACCAAATACTTGCACTGGTGACACATAACTAGGTAAACATAACATTCTTAAAATTATATAGCCAGGTGCTGGTGGTTCACACCTAGTAATCCTAGATCTGAGGATCACTGCTCAAAGCCAGCCAGGTAGGAAAGTTCATGAGACTTGTATCTCCAATAAACTACTCAGAAGAAGCTAGAAGTGGCACTGTGGCTCAAGTGGTAGAGTGCTCGCCTTGAGCTGAAGAGTATAGGAACAGCGCCCAACCCCAGAGTTCAAGCCCCACAACCGACAAAAAAAAAAGAAAGAAAAGAAAAAAGAAAAGGAATCCTTGCATCAGTTGTTAAATATGTTGACAATGTACAGAAGCGGTCAACAGGGCTGGGAAGGGGGCTCAGTGGTAGAGTGCTTGCCTTGCATGCATGAGGCCCTGGGTTCAATTCCTCAGCACCACATAAGCAGAAAGAAAAAGAAAAAAGCCGGAAGTGGCGCTGTGGCTCAAGTGGTAGAGTGCTAGCCTTGAGCTGAAGAGCTGAGGGACAGCACCCAGACCCAGAGTTCAGGCCCCATGATCGGACCCCCCCCCAAAAAAAAGAAGTGGTCAACAATTTACTCTTAAAATTTTTAAATAGACAATTCAAAGCAAAGATATTAATAATGTACTGTGGAGTTTACAACATAAGGTAGTCATGAAATAAATTACAATAGCACAACAGTAGACAAGGACACGGAATCAAGCTATTGGAAGAATCTCAAGTCAAATATTCTTTGAAGGTAGATTTTGTTAAGGATGTATATTGTGAATCCTAAAGCACCTACTAAATGCGTAAATAAGTATATATAATAAGCTAGCAGTACAGATAATATAACAAATGCTTAAACAATGAAGACTCAACTCTTTTTTGTTGGTCTTGGGGCTTGAATATACAAATATATATCACATGTATTATTACTAACATCTAAATTTTAGTCTGAGTTCGTGTCTAGGATCAATCCACCTCCATCAGAAATTTTTTTTTGGGGGGGGTAGGTAGTGGGGCTTGAACTCTGGGCTTGGGCATTGTCCCTGTGCTCTTCAGCTCAAGGCCCGTGCTCGCTCTACTGCTTGAGCCACAGCGCACTTCCGGTTTTCTAGAGGCTTATTGGAGATAAGAGTCTCACGGATTTTCCTGCTCAGGCTGGCTTTGAACCGTGAGTCTCAGATCTCAGCCTCCTGAGTAGCTAGGATTACAGGCCTGAGCCACCGGTGCCCAGCATCAGAAATGTTTTTTGGTTTTTTTTGGGTCCGGTCGTGGGCCTGAACTCTGGGCCTGGGTGCTGCCCTCAGCTCTTCAGCTCAAGGCTAGCGCTCTACCACTTGAGCCACAGTGCCACTTCCAGCTTTTTTTTTCTGCTTATGTGGTGCTGAAGAATCGAACCCAGGGCCTCATGCATGCAAGGCAAGCGCTCTACCACTGAGCCACCTTCTCAGCCACCCAGAAATGTTTTTAAAGACATTTGTGGAAAAGGAAAAATATTATTAAAGGAACAATAAAAATATAAATAAAATAACAAGAATTTCTATTTGTCATGTTATAAGTCAACTACTTTGCTGCTACCCTGGATCTCGGGTCTTTCTGCATGAACGCTGCCTCTGGCTGCCTGGTAAGAGTAAAAGCAGCTAAGTAACTTGTCACAACACTAAGCCATGTTGAGCTGTACCGTGTGGTCAAGCCATGGCAGGAGCATCGGCATGGCAGGAGCATCGGCACGGAGGAGGGTGAACAGCCCTGCCTGGTGTTTTGGAGATTTTACATGCTCATACTGACAAATAGCTCTCAAAGTCCTGAGTGCAGTACAAAGATAACCAGCCCACTCAGAGAACACCTAGGGCAATGACACTCATGTAAAGATATTTTGCAGTGACAACACTGAATTGCTTTTAAATTTCACATATTAAGAAGCCCAATAGAGTGTTAACTATATGCTAATTTCAGTAGTTTAGTTCAAGTAAGTTATTTTATTGGTTACTAATATTATTCCCAGGCTCTAAGTCTGTCTGGCTATTTCTGAACACACTACTATCTGATTTTTTTTTTTGGGTCCAGTCATGGGGCCTGAACTCTGGGCCTGGGTGCTGTCCCTCAGCTCTTCAGCTTAAGGCTAGCGCTCTACCACTTGAGCCACAGCGCCATTTCTGGCTTTTTTCTTTTTTGCTTATGTGGTGCTGAGGAATCGAACCCAGGGCCTCAAGCATGCAAGGCAAGTGCTCTACCACTGAGCCACCTTCCCAGCCCTACTATCTGATTTTTATACTTGACTGAGACATTTTATGAAAACTGTGACAAGGCTGCCACTTAAATAAAGGTCAATACTAAATCTTTAGCTGCTATTGACTGAGGCTACATATAAATTTAAATAGTTTCAGTTCAGATCAATCATATAGAAGATTCTTACATGGTTTAGAGTTACTATTCTCTTTTGGCTAATTAACAATCCCACCAGTTCAGAAAGAGTAACAGGGAAGATAAGCCAAAATTTACTGGTAGCAGTTAAATTCTAATCTAGTTTATTCTAATCAATAGAGATTAAACTGGATAAAAGGCAGTAATTATTACATTGTAGGCACTGAGTCATTCTAAAGATTTGCCAAAGGGTAGAGGTACTCTAACAGGAGTTTTACTCTATGCAAATATGTGCTTTGTAATTTGATATGGCTTGTTCTTTAATAGAAACATAGGTGTCTTGTGAAAAACTGTTCATGTCATTCCTTTGCTAATCTTAATTCTGTCTTCAGAAATAGGTGTTATTTCAGCCTAGCCCTTGTCAAAACAGGAAAAAAAAAATCAGAAAGATCTCATATGTTTGGAACTCTACTATAATCCATCCTTCTAAAGTTAAATAAGACTAAAAAAATTAATTATAAATGATTTCACTTGAAAATTTTATAATAGATAGCTGAAATAAATAAATGTCCTCCATACCAATATGAGCTCGGTCAGATATGACAAGTCTTTTTTCCCAGCCTTCTAGACCTAAAGAAAGAGAAGAAAAGATACATTTTCTCAAACATTTTATGTAACAGCTTCTAAATTTAACTTTATAGAATGTCTGTTTCTTTTTTTGAAAAAAAAAAAAAAAATCATGTTAGTAGCTTTTTTCTGCATAGAAATATGTTCAACAAGTTTCTCATCTAACATTTATTCAATATAAAAATTTACTCACTTTCTTTGAGCAGTTCTGGAATTTAAACTCAGGGCCTTGCACTTGTTAGAAAGGTCCTTTATTGGGTCACCCCAACCACTTTCGCTTTTGTTATTTTTAAAATTAGCATACATTAGATGAATAAGGAGGTGTCCCCTGTGACATTTCCACACATAATAAAAATGTATTTCTGTACACCTCCCCTCTTGTTACTCCCCCGCCCCATCCTCCTCCCCTTGAAACAAGTAAACAGTTTCAGTTGGCTGCACTCACCTTCCATTCATCCCAATTCACCTTCTTCCTTAGCCCTCCTCATTGCTGCTGTCTGTGTCCCCCACAGCAACCTGGACCAGCTTAACTTTTCTGTCATTCATTAAGTGTGTATTAACTGCACTGAGGGGTTTCACTATGGTATTTCAGACCTGCATATGTGTTGTTTTGTTCAGAATAATCCTCTATTACTTTCTATTCTCCCAGTACCCTGAACCCCTATTAAGTGTTCACTGAACTTTCTTATGCAAAATGTTAGTGAGAAACAACCCAACAAGCTGGTGTGCACCTATAATCCAAGCTAAGGTAGAGGCATACAGGTAGAAGGACAGTAGTCCAAGGCTGACCTAAGTAAACACATTAAGACTGCACAAGAAAAATAACTAAAACAACAGGGCCAGGGTATGGGTCAAGTAGTTGAAACCCTACCTAGCAAGCACAAAAGCCCTGAGTTCAAACCTCAGTAATACCAAAATAAAAATAAAAATAAAAATAGATGGAGGGACAGATGTAGAGAAAAAGCTTTTGCCATGCACAGGTATCTGGGTTTGATTATTAACGTATCATAAGAATTAAAAACTAAAAAAAATTTAAAATTAGTAAAGAACTATTGTCAGTAATATCCAAGATTTGTTTTGGAAGTTCATTCTTTATAGACTAAGGAGAGCCTCCCCGGTAGTACACTACAAGGCAAGCTACTAGCTGAGCTCAGTAGGGCCTGTTCTAAGGTCAGGATTACAAAGCCTCAGGGGAGAGGATGCAGCAGGTGAGTCAGCCACCAAGGCCAGCAGAGCCGAGCACGGGAACCCCACGGGGGCCCGCACAAGACACAGGTCCTGATGGAGGGAGGACAACAGAGACAGTAGGTTCTGCAGCCAGATAGAATAGTTAAAGACACTTCGGGGCAGACAACATACTTTAACATCAGCAAGCTGAGTACTTTAAACTCTAAGGGGAAACTACACAATGAGTGTCAAATTCTCCTCCCATCGTAAAGAGGCAGCTTAACAGAAAGGGGATGGGGATGGACGGATACACTGCACAGAAGCAGCAATGCCCCTTGCTTGAATAGAAACAACCCCTGTCACCCTGGTCATCAGCCTGAGGGAGCACTCATGATCTAGGCAACTGGGGAATTCCCAAGAGTCCTGTCAAGCACTCATACATTCTAGACACCGTAAGGTCAAGTTTGCAAGTGAACAACCAATGCACAAAAATCTGAGACCTACATAAAGGTATTATTATGAGATGTCTCATGTTGTTTAAAATTTTATAATGAATGAAATTTAGTAAATGACCTAAAATTGCTCTACAATAAATAACCTAAAAATTGAAGTACAAGACAGAAATGTTACTCCTCTGCTAATAGAAGAAAACGACAGCTTAACCGCTGGACTGGCTCTTCCATACCTTTTCCTTTTTGAACGTTTTTCTCTACTTCTTCAAACAATCCAGGCAGATGAATTACCACACCATTTCCTAAAGCAAACACACAATCCTCCACTTTAAACATCTGTACTTACAATGCATACATATATAGAATATAAAACATAGACACTGATAATAATCGTTTAACTAGAACAGAAGCATAAGATAATGATGATTAGAACATTCTGAGTAACCAGGACTTACTCAGAAATTATTTGGGGTTTTACAAACTTTACAATTTTGGTGCAGAGGGTGGGGGGGGGGGGAGGATGGGAAGGGATGGGAAGGGGAAACAAAGGAGGAGGCTACAATGTTTGATAAGAAATGTACTCATTATCTTGCCCATGTAATTGTAACCCCTCTGTACAGTATTTTCACAATAAAAAAATAAATAAAAATAAAGAAATTATTTGGGGTTTTAAACAGTAGTGTAATGTAAACAAATAATACAATACAATATACTGAATATAAAACACTAAAATTATACTCAACAGAACTTGAAATTTGTTTGAAATATTATTTTGAAAAAACTATAGTTTTAGTCACAGTAGAAACAAGATCAATGTCCATCAATTAGGGAATCACATTCTACTAATAGTTATAAAATCAACTTGATGTGTGATTAAAATTTTTAAAGATGAAACAATTGAAAATAGCAGAGGGCGTCACTTGTTGTAAGGGCTCAGAACTAAATCTTCTTGCAGTAAAAATATTTAGAAAACTGATTTGATGTTCCATTACTTCTTTAAAGAATTAAGATTGAGCCTGGCGCCAGTGGCTCATGCCTGTAATCCTAGCTACTCAGGAGGCTGAGATCTGAGGATTGTGGTTCAAAGCCAGCCTGGGCACGAAAGTTCGTGAGACTCTTATCTCCAATAAATTGCTCAGAAAACTGGAAGTGGCGCTGTAGCTCACATGGTAGAGCACTTGCCTTGAGCTGAAGAGCTGAGGGACAGTGCTCAGGCCCAGAGTTCAAGCCCCGCGACAAAAAAAAAAAAAAAAAGAATTAAGATTGTAGCCAGGCTTTGGTGGCTCATGCCTGTAATCCTAGCTACTCAGGAGGCTGAGATCTGAGAATCACGGTTCAAAGCCAGCCCAGGCAGGAAACTCCATGAGACTCTTTTATCTCCAATAAACCACTTAGAAAACCTAATGTGGCTCAAAGTGGTAGAGCACTCGCCTTGAGCTGAAGAGCTGATGGACAGTGCCCAGGGCCAGAGTTCAAGCCCCAGGACCCACAAAAAAAATAAATAAACAAAAGACTTAAGAGTGTTAGCTGGGAATGTGGCTTAGTGGCAGAGTGCTTGCCTAGTATGCATGAAGCCCTGGGTTTAATTCATAAACAGAAAAAGCTGGAAGTGGTACTGTGGCTCAAGCGGTGGAGTGCTGACCTTGAGCAAAAGAAACTCAGGGACAGTGCCTAGGCCCTGAGTTCAAGCCCCAGGACTGGCAAAAAAAAAAAAAAAAAGACGAAAGAAAAGAAAAAGAATTAAGGTTGCCACTGATCACAGATGTACCCAAGCAGTCATCAAGGAACATATCACTGCTGGAAAATCAGAAGAGTTGCAAATAGCCGGTCTTAGGCACATTCTAGAAGGCATTATGGTCAAATTAACAAAGGAGCAGTGAATCACAGTCTAATGATGATTGAAATCAGCTTTTACACGAAAATAAATACCACCATCAATCCCCAAGTAGTTCCATTCCAATACTTACCAATGAATGCAGTAACATTTGGATTAATTATTCCACTGGGTAAAAGATGGAAATCATATTCCACAGAATCTACAACAACTGTATGGCCAGCATTATTTCCTCCCTGAAATATAAGGGAAAATTAAGTGTGACAGTAAGTAATGTATCTCCTTCCAAATTAACTAATAAAATTAAGGAATACCTGCTAGAATGTCAACATAACTTACAGAAGCCAAATATTCTGCATCATAAATCGACCCATTAAAGGTTTGGCTTGAAAAATACTTTCTGTCCATTTGTTAACATGGAAAAGCAAAACCTGAGATAGGTTAGGGAAGCAAGGAGGAAGGATGAGGGAGACTGCTGGCTATGGTGAGCTTGATACATTGTATACAAATATAAACTAGGGAAATGAAACCTCTTATAGAGCGAATTGATGATTTATTAAAAAAAAAAAAAGAGGCTTGGTTTTGTTATGTTCTTTCTCCCTGTATTATATTTGCCAGATGACCCTACAAGGACCTAGAAATTGGAGCATTCAAGTTTCTGGAAGGCAATTTAGGAAAAAAAAGTGAAAAAGTTTAAAATTCATTTATTTGTCTGCCTTTGGCAGTAAAGAGAATATATAGTAATCAAATTACTAATGATATTTAACATATACAAAAATTTCTCTCAAGACAAAACTATATTCATAAATTGCTTTATTGAATGGCAACTCCTTTATACAACTACTTAAAGATAATACATTTTAAAAATTTTCTCTAAGATAGAAAAAGGTCATCTTTATGGCTACACTAACTTGATTTAAATATTCACTTAATTCTCACCATCCTTAGAGTGTGTCATGAAACTTCATGATCTGAAATCTGTATTTGTACATGGACATAAATATTAGTTATCCTAATGCTCTAATTTGTACATTAGCCTTATGTCTTTGACCACCGACAGATCCCTAGAACCTGCTCATCTCTGGGTAAGGTCAGGGGATCTTCTTTTCTTAGAGACTTCTGAGCAACATCTTATCAGATAGCTAAGGCCCACCTTGAACTTACTCTGTAGACCTGCAACGCATCATCCCTGACTCTCTTTCTTTCCTGCTGGAATTTCAGGAATATTCTACTACATCTGGCTTATTGGGGAATCTTTACTGTTCAGAATCACAGCATAAGGCTATGGTGAATTTTCCATTCTTCAAAGATTTTGTCTACATAGTCAATAAAATTTAAGTGCCAAATTATAAAAATTATGTTCAGAAGACTAAAATTAAGTGACCAGATAATTTTCCTTTTAGGTTAAAAAAGCACAGAAGAAAACACAAGTGATGCTGAAACTTATACATCATATTAGCAAGTCACTGCAAGTAAACAATAAACTAGAAGTACACAAGTAAGAAATACCACTCAGGGCTGGGAAAGTGGCTCAGTGGTAGAGTGCTTGCCTTGCATGCATGAGGCCCTGGGTTCAATTCCTCATACCACATAAGCAGAAAAAGCCAGAAGTGATGCTGTGGTTCAAGTGGTAGAGCGCTCACCTTGAGCTGAAGAGCTGAGGGACAGCACCAGGCCCAGAGTTCAAGCCCCATGATAAACACAAACAAACAAGAAATAGCACTCAAAATTATTATTTCTTGCTGTCACTTTTCATTAAATCATTACCGATCCTGAGTACACAATAATGCTGGGAAACTAAGTCCCAACAAAAACACTTCAAGAAGTAAATATTTATCTACACTGGTTTTCACAGTTGTATATCATGTAATTAAAAATTAATCCTGAAACAGGACCCTGCAGAAGGGTCCTGAGGTGGAGCAGCTATACATATGGAATTTCTTGATAAGGTACTCATACATATAAGCTTTTAGTACAGTCGTATTTCATAAAATGAAACAAATGATGATTCACATTTGAAGTATATGCCGGGCGCTGGTGGCTCACGCCTGTAATCCTAGCTACTCAAGAGGCTGAGATCTGAGGATCCCAGTTCAAAGCCAGCCAGGGCAGGAAACTCCGTGAGACTCTTATCTCCAATAAACCACTAGAAAACCGGAAGTGGCGCTGTGGCTCAAGCAATAGAGCGCTAGCCTTGAGTAGAAAAGCTGAGGGACAGGGCCCAAACCCAGAGTTCAAGCCCCATGACCACCACCAACAACAAAAAATTTGATGTATCTAGTTAGATGTTAACCTAAAATATATCTGTATAGGATAGGCACAATTCACCCACAAATTTGGACAACTGTCATCAAATGCATTAAACTGTCAGAGGGAAAGATCACGTATGTTAGGAGATAGCAAAACAAAGTTTTCTGTAGAATATGCAATTCATTCTCAGAGCTCAGACACTTGCCCTCAGATGCACTGAACTACCAGGGGGGAGGTCATATATGCTAGAAGAGAGCAAAGCAAAGCTTTCAAATATGCCAGATGCCCAGCAGAAAACCAAGCTGCCCGTTTGGCCGCTGAATGCCAGGAGCAACCTTGCTGCTGGCCACCCTCACTTCCACCAAACAAATCCCACACATGACTCACAAAATAAATTCACTGCAACACAGTGTGGCTATAGCTGGTTTTCTGAGTTCACATCTTATTGAAGTGCTGACTGAATACAAACACATCATTAGTATTACATGCTACAATCTTAGTAATATTTTATGTTGTCAAGGACAGTACCTTAAAATATGGCATTTGCAGAACATGATAGTTCTTAGTCACTTTGTAATTGTTCATTTCCTCCTAATTTAATGTTAAATTGAAGGCAGTTATTTTGCATTTTATTTCCATACTCCATAGAACCAATTCTACACAAAAAAAACTCAAATAGAAAAATTATTGATATGTGTTAGAGTAATTATGAAGTTCCACGAGTACTGGAGAAGTTTATGGGAAAAAGTCTGTAAGGAAATAAAATCAGTCTGCAAAACTCCCAACTTTGCTATAAGGCTTTTCTTGTCCTTCCCCCAAACCACTCCCTCTTCACACCTCAAACCCTGCAGAACAGTCCAGAGATACAAGATTATCCCTTACTGAAGGAAGGGGTGACATTGACCAAGAAGCACTGTACTCATAACCTGACTGATGAAAGTACAACCCCTTTGTTCAACTACTTAAGGACAACAACAATAATAACAAAGAAAACAAAAGCACATCTAGCCAGTGTCAAGTGTTAAGGGTTGAGGGTTTCATGCACAGGGCCCAGAGCCATCACTCAGGCTACTTAGGCCACTAAAACCGAGGGTCTTCTCTGTCCTGTGTGTTCTGAATACATGACCACTGTAATCATAGAGCTCAAAGGAACTCCAATCAGAGGTCAGAGTCACCACTGTGGATTACTGCAGCCCCTTGTCCTGAACTACCTGGCAACAAAAGGGTGTTATTTCTTGTCTAGAGTGTTCAAGCTCTTAAGCTAACATTCTTCTGAGTCATTGCTCATTATCAATGCTGCTTTCCTGGATCTTTCCCTTTCCAGATGAAACATTTCACTATTCACCAAAACTAATACATTTGTCAAATTACACCAATAAAGTACTTATAAGTTAACTGCTCTTTTTTGAAAGTGTTCATATAATTGCAATGTTTGTGAATCCAAAGTAGACCAGGTTACTACCAGTACATTGATGAAATCATTAGATAGGGTAGAGAAAAATAAAGGTATCTAAACTCCTTTTTAGCAAAGACAAGTGGATGATCAGCAACCTTTGAAAGGTATAAAGATACCTAGTTCCCTTTGCTTATATCATTATATCACAAATGATGACAGCCTCAGTATTTTGAAACAACTCACTGACAGGTGAAGAGGTCTTGCCTTAGAGGAGCTTAGGTTTCTAATGAAGATGCTTTAGACTCTTGGGTACAAACTTAAACATCACACACACACTCACTAAACCATGTCACAGATAGGAGAATGGAGACATGTAAGGGGAGAAAAGTAAAAACCAATGATGTTATGAAGTTCTTTGTAAATGCTTTATAAAACTTTACCTAAGGAGCTATGGCTCAGGTGGTAGAGGGCAAGCTGGAGAACAAAGCTTGGGCACAGCACCTAGGCCCCAGAACTGAACACACAAAAAGAATTCCTTCAACTAGAAAATAAAGATATTTTCTTAAAAACATGCTGAACTTGAACTGGAGATCAAAAGTCAAAGATAAAGGTTTTATGATGAATAAAACCCTTTTTAAAGGATTTTAAAAGCTAGACATAAAAATCCTACTTCTGGCCGGGTGCTGGTGGCTCACACCTGCAATCCTAGCTACTCAGGAGTCTGAGATCTGAGGACTGTGATTCAAAGCCAGCCCGGACTTGGGCAGGAAAGTCCATGAGACTCTTATCTCCAATAAACCACTAGAAAACCAGAAGTGGCACTGTGGCTCAAGCAGTAGAGCGCTTGCCTTGAGCTGAAGGACAGGGCCTAGGCCCAGAATACATATATGTATATGTATATATATATATATGTATATATATATATGTATGTGTATATATGTATATATATGTAAATATATGTATGTATGTGTATATATGTATATATATGTAAATATATGTATGTATGTGTATATATATGTATATATATATATATATATATATATATATATACCCACACATCCTATTTCTGGAAACTTCATAGGGCATCATGTTTTTTAGGAAATTTGATTATACTGAATTAGATACCGTCCCTCATTCTCATGGCGCCAGAGCAGACTGGCTACCCCCCTTTCCTTCACTATTCCTTTCACTGCTGTCTCCAGGTAATACGAAGGACTTTAACATATCTTTTCCGATAAAGGAATTCAAATAATCACTTATCTTTTATGTCAAAACCTGACATTTCCCAAGAGATAATATAGCTAAATTTGTATCCAATTATAGTAACCTATTATGTACCTACCAATTTACTGATCACTCAAGATCTGTTCTAGGCAGTTATTTCTAGATACCTGAATCTATCCAACCAACCCAACCCACTCATTCCTGCCAAACTGAGAATCAGAACAAAATTGCGTTAGACACCACTAAGATTGTTGTGCATCACTTAAAAACTCATGCTTCAGGAAGTGATGATAGCCAGGTACCAGTGGCTTAGGTCAGTAACCCAAGCTACTAGAGACAAAAGGACCATACACAGTTAAAGGCCAACCTAGACAGAAAAGTTCCCTAGACTCCATCTCCAAAGTAACTAGCAAAAGCAAGCCTAGAGGTGTGCTTTAGTGGTAAAGTATCTTCCTATCAGGCAAGAAGAGGTCTCAGGGAGGGAAAGGATGATGGAATGTTAGTATTTAGCAGCCATTTTCCTTTTTTGTTTTGTTGCCAATCCTGGGGCTTGAACTCAGGGCATGGCATTATCTGAACGCTTTTAGCTCAAGGCTAGTGCTCTATCACTTGAACCACAGCTCTACTTCCAACTTTATTTTGGTAATTAACTAGAGAGAAGGATCTCAGACTTTCCTGCTTGGGCTGGCTTTGAACCTTGATACTCAGATCTCAGGCCTCCTTGTATAGCTAGGATTGCAGGCATTAGCCACCGGTGCCTGGTTCATTTTATTTTTGTGGTAAGTTTTCATATACAGCAAGCAGTAGGATATACTTTACAATTTTAATTCATACTTTGTATTACTTTAAAACCATGGGGGAATGGGGCTGGGAATGGGACTTAGTTGTAGAGTGCTTGCCTAGCATGCATGAAGCCCTGGGTGTGATTCCTCCCTCAGTACCACATAAGCCAAAAGCAGGGGCCGTGGCTCAAGTGGTAGAGTGGTAGCCTTGATCAAAAAAAGCTCAGGACAATACCTAGGCTTGGAGTTTAAACCCCAGGACTGGGTTGGGCGAGGGGGGGGGGAGGAAGAGGGGGAGACACGGACAGACAGACCACAAAGAAAGGGATTACTGCTCTAGGATTTCCAGCTCTTGAGCCAGTGCATGTTTGCTGTCTTGTCACCAAGACCACCAAGCTCTCTTTCTCCAAGAATAAAGAAGCCCTTTCTTTAAGCCTGGTATAAACAACCACAGTTAAAATGTCTATAGTTGCTAGTCAACAAAATAGAAGAAACACAGGTATTTTTACTTTGAGAGGATTTGGAGAAATATCACTAGATTTCCTAAGGAAACAACTTTTGTGTGGCCTGAAAAGAGCCTCTTGTTTCCACTTTGGAACCCTTGAAAAACCTGTCCTAGCACCATTCTCCAGCCCTGCCTTGTCTGCACTTGTTTACGTCCACTGGACTGTGGGGCCAGTATGTACTTGATGCTCCTGTACGTCTCTGGTCTTAAAGGTCATTAATCTGAATGCCATCGGTAGTCATTGCCCTTTATTCCAAGGCCTACATACTGACATAAGGATCTATAGGAAGCTATAAATGCCTCCACGTAAGTCCAGAATCTGAAAGACACAGGCCTTATGGTGAAAATGCCTTAAACTCTGCAAATATTCCTTCCAGACAGGCATTCTGGTGGAAAATGACTAGTTTATGTGAGATTTGTCTTTTTAAAACTACATTTCAATATCTCATATTGAGAAAAAAATATTTTATCCTTTTACTTTTAGAATATGGATACATCATTGTATATCACTTTTGGGAAATGATGCTTAGGTTCTGGAGAAATAAAACTTAAGTTCATTGCTTGAATATGACAAAAACCAATGTATAAGTCCTCCAACAGAGGACGTATTTCCACTTAACAAACTTGAAACATCTATACCAAGAGAGCCAAGCTAATAATGCCTTTCCTTAGACCTGACTTTCTTCTCCTTTCCATACAGAGTCGTTATAGCAGTCGAACATTCCAGTTTTCAACTTTACAACTAAGGATAACTTCACTAAGCAGATGCCAAGTTACTCACATGAATCACAAGACAAGCTTCTATCTATTCCTCAGCTACTTATGACTAAGGAGTCTAGTAAGAATTATATAAGGCCCAAGGATTACATAAGGAAGATTATATACCAGATAAGGTAGTTTACAAGTGAGGAAGTCAGCTAACAGGTCAGATCATTTACTCTCTCCATTACCTTCAGCTAACATTCCAATGTCAAACCTGGCTCCTTCTCAATCACATTGTAGACTTTCCAAAGGCATCAGATCAGAAGGGTGGAAGACCTCCCTTAAGACAGTCTTGGTGGGACTGGGAAGGTGGCTCAGTGTAAGAGTGCTTGCCTCGCATGCATGAGGCCCTGGATTCGATTCCTCAGCACCACATAAGCAGAAAAAAAGCTGGAAGTGGCACTGTGGCTCAAGTGGTAGGGTGTTAGCATTGAGCTGAAGAGCTGAGAGACAGGCCCAGGCCCAGAGTTCAGGCCCCACGACCACAAAAAAAAAGTCTCACAGGGAAGGGGCTGGGAAGGTAGCTCAGTGGTAGAGTTGCTTTCCTTGCATGCAAGAGTCCCTGGGTTCAATTCCTCAGCACCAGGTAAGCAGAAAAAGCCAGAAGTAGCGCTGTGGCTCAAGTGGCAGAGCACTAGCCTTCAGCTGAAGAGCTCAGGCCCCACAACTGACACTGACACACACACACACACACACACACACACACACACAAAGACATTCTTGGTAACATAGTAACAGGGCTTGTCTACAAACCAACATCAATCCACTTTCAAGGAAACATTAAAAGTGAGGGTGTTTTGGAATGAATGCTACAAATGGCTACACTGCTCAATCCTCAGAACCCACATAGCTCACCCTTTGCTTAAGGGTTACTGTTTCTAAGTACAGGGGATGTCAAGGACAGAGAGAGACAAACAGCCTCAACCTCTCCTACCCAACTAGAGTTAGGCAAGCTTCTGAGTCTTCCCTGGAAGTGAAGAAGCAGGTGAAGACCGGTCTGAACAGTTCCTACAGCAGTAGGGGCAGGGTTCAGTCATTAAGTGTGTGCTGCCACACAGGTAGTAAGGGTTCAGTCATTAAGTGTGTGCTGCCACACAGGTGGTAAGGTGTTCTAGCTGATGGCTCAGGGATGTGAATTTCCGCATTCAGGCTCAAAAAGACAAGAAAATGAAAAAGGAAAAAGAAAAATAAGAAAAACCAAGTGAATTTGGAGGGCATTTGCATTTCCCTTTCACAGTGCTTAAATGACATTCAGCTATAGGTAGAAAGCTTCCGGTCCCGGGGGCCTGGACACGAACTTGCGGGGCACCCTCGGGGGGCCTCGTCACGTGGCCCACGCACGCGTCCTCCACCCGAGCGCTGGGCCAGGGGGAGCCTTTTCCAAAGGCCTCGCGCGAGGCCGCTTCAAAGGAAGCGACACACACACAAGTCGCACCCCGAAAACCACGTGTCCGCGGGAGGAAGTGCCTCCGCGCTCCATTTCCCGAAAGTGAACTTTCTAATGGAACCGGCAGCGACACCGCTCAAGGTCCAATTTGGTGCCCGGGAACCGACGCGCAGCTCCTCGGGGACCGAGCCCGTCCCCCCCCGACTCGGCAGCCCACGGGATCGCGGAGCCCCGCGGGGGGTTCGGATGTCAACAGGCCCGGCGGCGGGGGAGGCCCGCAGGTGGAGGGGCGGCGAGCCCGCCCGCCGGGGCGTGGCCCGAGCCCGCCCGCCCGCAGGATGCGGGGCCGCCGGCACCCCGGGCTCCGGGCCACGCCCCGGGCGGCGAGCAGGCCCCGGGCGGTGCGCTCGGCTCCAGGTCCGGACCGCGCCCCACCGCGCCCGGGCGGAGCCGCCCGCGCCCGCCCCGGAGTCCGCGCCCGCCCGCCGCCTCCCGGGGCGCCGCCGCCCGCGCCCGGGACGCCCAAGGTGACACCGGGCGGCCGGCGGCCCGCGCGGCCCGGCGCCTCACCTGGCAGCGGCACACGATGTCGGCGTCCTGCGCCAGCAGGTCCACCACCTTCCCCTTGCCCTCGTCGCCCCACTGCGCGCCCAGCACCACCGTCACCCGGTTGCCCGCGCGCCGCGCCGCCGGGCGGCCGCAGTCGCCGTTCGGCAGGAAGGACGCCGCGGGGTTGGCGCTGGCGAGCGACATGGCCCCGGTGCGCTAGAGCTGAGGCGGAAGCAGGCGCGGCCACCGAGAGCGCGCGGGCCGGACTGCGCGGCGCCCGCCAGCCACATGCAGGGGAAGGAACCCGAGGCCGGCCCCGCCCCGCGGCGCGGCGGGGGCGGCCCGGGCCCGGCGGGATCCACACCGCCCCGCGCAGGCCGCTCCCGGCAGCGCCGCCCGCAGGCCCAGGCCCCGGACGCCTCAACGGCCGCCGCCGCCGCCGCCCACGGCGAGGCCACGCCCCCTCCCCTGGCGCGAACCCCGCCTCCGGGCACGCCCCGCCCACCCGCCTTTAAACCCGGGAGGCGCGGGCGGATGTGGGGCGCGAGGGACTACAACTCCCGGCGTGCACCGCTCTGCGCGCGGCGGCGCCGCGGCGCCCCGGAGCGGGCAGTCTGCAGGTTTCCGCCCCTGAAAAGAGTCCTTGTGTTGGGTGTTTGATTTATTCAGGAGCCAGGTCGCGTGTACAGAATACTAGCAGAAGTGCTTCCGAACCTCCCGAGTTTAGAATTGAAAATGAAAGGTCTGGAACTAGGATCAGAGCCGGTGAAGGGCATTAGAAGGGCAAAGTTAAGGGTGAAACGACGCAGGACGAGGACACTAGAATATAAGGGGCTAATCCTTGTCATCCCACTCCAAGCGAGGCTCAGGCAGGAGGGGCACAGGGCCGCTCCCTGTGGCGTGAGGGTCTGTGGGTCACTTGCTCTCCTTGGTGCCGTTATTAATCCTACTGCGTGTGCTGGTGGTGGGGCCTGGGCGCTGTCCCTGAGCTTGCTCACGGCTGACACTACTACCACATGAGCCGCAGCTCCATGCGGACTTTCCTACCCAGCTGGCTTTGAACCACCATCTTGAGACCTCAGCTTCCTGAGTAGCTAGTCATCAGCACCCAGATGATTTTTGTTGTTTTGTTTTTCTGCCAGTCCTGGGGCTTGAACTCAGGGCCTGGGCACTCTCCCTGAGCTGCTTTTGCTCAAGGCTAGCGCTCTACCACTTAAGCCACAGCGCCACTTCCAGCTTTTATCTTTTTTGCTTATGTGGTGCTGAGGAATCGAACCCAGGGCCTCAGGCATGCAAGGCAAGCGCTCTACCACTGAGCCACCCACCCAACCCATAAGGTTTTGTCTTAAACTAGTTTATTTTCAAGATGGAATTACAGCATACCCCAAACTGTTCAAGAAATAGCTGAGAGTGTGGAAATATTTTAAGATTACCTGTGAACTTTTCACCTTTGTAACTGTTTTATTCTGACTAGTCAATCCTGAGCAGATTGTGGACCTGAGCTCAGCCAGTCTGAGCAGAGGGGCAGCACCTGCTGCTAGGGGTAAACACCTGAGCTGACGGCCTGCTCTGTGTGCTGGCTTGCCAGACTTTGGGTTGATGGAACAGAAGACAAGTTTGCCTGGCTGAGACAAATCTTTGTTTTTGTGTCTATCATTGTGAGGGCGGAGGTACTTGGGAGAGCATTATTTGTGAGCGTGGTTAATTGCAGATAAGAATCTCATGAACTTTCCAGCCTCCTGAGTCTAGGACTACAGGCGGGCCTACCAGCACCTGGCTTGCCCTAGTTATTTTCGAGCTAGAAATGAGTGGTAAAAAGTGACGATAGCTGACGTGATGAGGGCTGGCCCGTGAGCTCGAGGAATTGAGGTTTCCCTTTTGTTTGAACACCAGAGGTCACTTTTTAGGCTTTTTCTGGCGATACAATGTAAGCTACATCTACCGTGCCCGTGTGTGCACACTCGCGGGGCGTGCGCCGTGCCCGTGTGTGCACACTCGCGGGGCGTGCGCCGTGCCCGTGTTTGCATGGTCTCGCGGGGCGTGCGCCGTGCCCGTGTGTGCACACTCGCGGGGCGTGCGCCGTGCCCGTGTGTGCACACTCGCGGGGCGTGCGCCGTGCCCGTGTGTGCACGGCCTCGCGGATGCGCGCTGCGCCGGGTTTTGGAAGCAGTTTTGCTCTCCCGCCCCCACAGCCCGGTTCCCGCTTTCCTCCCTCCCCTCCCCTCCCTCCTTCCCCGAGGCGCGCTCCCGCGGAGAGTGTGGAGGACGCACGGGGGACACGCGTGCCGATGGAGAAGAGGAGGGGACGCGCGTGCGTGGAGAAGACGCGTGCCAGGAGGGGACACGTGTCCGAGGCGGGGGAACACACGTGCACGGAGGACGCGCGTGCCCGACGAGGGAGGCGCGCGTGGTGAGGACGGCGCGTGCGCGGCGCGGCCCGGCGGCGGGCTGTTGGGCGGCGGGCGCCATGTCCGCCGGGGCCGTGGCGGCGCTGCTGTGCTGGCTGAGCTGCTGCGGCTCGGCCTTGTGGAGGTAGGGCGCCCCGGCTCCCGGCGCCCCGCGCCCCGATCCCCGATCCCCGCGTGCGTGGAGGCCGCCCGCGGCCGGACCGCGGAGGAGACGTCAAACGACCTAAAACGGAGAGGCCGGGGAGGGTGTGGGCGATGGCGGAGCCGGCCTGCGACCCCAGTGTGTGTGTGAGCACCAGCGACCCCAGCCGCACCCGCGCCGGCCAGCCTGGGCCGCGCAGGTCCCGGCGTCCAGGCCGCGCCGGACGCCCGCCCCGCGTGGGAATGGCGCCGCGCCGTGGTCGCGCGCTGCATTTAACCCGGCACCAGCAGTAGCCAGCCCGGGCAGGGAAGGCCTTGAAACCTCTAGCTCCAATTGAGCACCATCACCAAAGGGGGGGGTGGCGGGGGGAGGCCTGCTGGCAGTGGAGGGGGGGGCTGGCAGTGGAGCTGTGGCTCAAGTGGTAGAACACCAGCCTTGAGTCCAAAAAAAGGCTCAGGAACAATGCCCAGGCCCTGAGTTCAAGCCCCAGAATTTGCACGGAGAGAGATGGAGATTGGGGGGACTCCGGAGGGGGTTTCCTTAGATAATAGTTAAAGATGATCATGGACTCTGAAATCTTCAGTGTTCTGAGTAATAAAAACAAGTTCTTCCTAATCTTATTAATTTTCATGTTAACTTAGGTTATAAATGAAAAAATCAGAGACAATATCTATAACGGTTTTTATCCTACCAGCATATGTAGAGCGTTTACTTCCTATGTCACTTAGTAACTTACTGTAGTGAGCCAACCCAAACACAGTACAGAGAGGGAGGGGTCCCCTTCCCAGGAAGTGGGGTACCAGCCACACAGTCCCTTTCCTTTGGTGGAGAGCACACTGTTAATATTTCCATATTTGCCCTTTTCTCTACAGGTATTCCAGTAACAGCCCAGACTATCGCATTTTTAGCACCAGAAGTGCTGTAAGTGTTGAATGAGCAAATCTATGAAACAGCGGGCATTATAATCATTTATGATCTAAAAAAACAAATCAGTATATCCCCAGACCTCCCTGAGTACCAGTCTCCAGGAGACTGGTAGATGATGGTTGGAAGTAGAATGGGACATGCGTTTGGCCTGGGATGCGACGCAGTGGTAGAGCATGGTCTTCTTGTGTGTGAGGCCTGCATCAATCCTTAGCACCGCGAGTTCAAGCGCCAAGACAGGCAAAAAAAAAAAAAAAAAAAAGCTTAACTTTTGGAGAGAGGAATGTCTCAGGAAGTTGTGATTCCTTTGTCATATGACTTTGCACAGCTTTGAAAAAAACTGGATTTCAATCAATAACCAATAACCAGAAAACTGAACTGTAGAACTGAGTGCTGAGGGGAACATTTTGAAGCACAGCTGCTTCTTTAAGCGTACGATTGAGTCATTTTATGCTATTCACCAGTCGCAGCCAGCACCCTCACTTCCATAGGGAACAAGTTCATCAATCTTATTCCCCCTCCAGCCCCAGCCAACCACAGATCCCCTTTTGTCCCGATGGACGGGCCTGTGTGGGATATTTCACAGCAAGAGCCCCACAGGGTATGGTCCTAGGTGCCTGGCTGCTTTCCCTGAGCATAATGTCTGCAAGGTTCAACCCTGCTTTAGCACAAATCTGGTCCTCGTTCCTTTTTAATGACTGAATACTATTCCAGCATTTGAATTTACCATGTAGTTACCCTTTCATCAGCAACAGGCATTTGAGCTGTTTCTGCTTTGAGGCTGCTGTGAGTGTTGCATACGAGCATTCACCTACCGGTTTTAAAGAGATTTTCCATCTGGGCTCCTTTCCTTCCTTTTGTAGATTAAATTAGAGTATGAAGGAACAGCATTTTCTGAGTGGAGTGTGCCAGCAGCTTGCATTATCCAAGATAAAAGGTACTGTTTACACCACGAAGATCTACACACGTCGATATCTACACCTGCAAGTAAAAAAGACTCACAGTGTAGACATTCAGAATTAAAGCTGTGACATAGGATAAATTTCCTTCCATTAAACAGATGTGGAAGGAAAGACAAATCACTTTAAAATAGAAGTAAAATATTATTATAAAGTTTTCTCCTATTAGAATACAATTGAAGGTTTAAAATTTTAAAATAGTGGGAGGCACTGGGAAGGTGGCTCAGTGGTAGAGCGCTTGCCTTGCATGCATGAGGCCCTGGGTTCGATTCCTCAGCACTACATAAGCAAAAAGAAAAAAGCCAGAAGTGGCGCTGTGGCTCAAGTGGTAGAGCGCTAGCCTTGAACTGAAGAGCTGAGGGACAGCACCCAGGCCCAGAGTTCAGGCCCCATGACTGGACCCAAAAAAAATAATAAAATAGTGGGAAAGCTAGGCATGCACACACACACACAGACACATAGACACACACACACACGGCGTGGGAGAGTGTTTATTCACCTCATATGCATCTCTAGTTACTGCTTTCCTGTTCTTTCTCCACATTAGCGCACCCACAACAGAATTGCGTTGTCCCATTCCTGGTGTTCAGATTATAAAACCAATAGTTACAGGCCCGGTAAGTTGATTTTAGTGATTTATAATTTATTGGTTCATTCTTGCTTAATCATCCTTTTGCCTTTCTTTTGAGCTCGTCAACATAAGTTAATATGTTCTTAAATAGTATTAACTATAACTATAAATAATAATTGTTTAAGCTGGCTGCTGGTAGTTCAGGCTTGTAATCCTAGCTACATAGGAGGCTGAGCTCTGAGGATCGCTATTCAAAGCCAGACCAGGCAGGAAAGCCAATTATCTCCAATTAATCATAGAAAAAGCTGGAAG